TCAATTCCTGGTGTAAATATTCAATTTATATCAAAGTCCATTATAATTTTGAGGACTCTTGGAATTGTAGAGCGGAAAGAAAGAAGTACAGGAGAATATACTAAAAACTTTACAAAAATTTATAATTAATATTGATCAAATATACACAATTATTTCTGACAATGGGGAAATTTTATCAAAGCTATAAAGCTCTTGCAACCTGAAATTGATTATGATATAAGGAGTGAATCAGTAGATGATGAGAAATATGGATGATTGTATATAAATATGATATCGATGATATACTGAACACTATTTTATCCTATCCAATTTATAGTGTACTTTTTGCAGCTCATACACTTCAGCTTGCACTTCAAGATGCAATAAAATTATCATGTCGCTCTTGCAAAAGCTAGGAGCTTAGATTTAAAATTAAGACATCCCACTTATCAAAAGTTATTGAAAAATATGAAACTTCCTAAGCCTGTGTTAGATTGCCACTGATGGCATTTAACCCATGATATGTTAGAAAGGCTGATTTTACTCAAACTCAATATCGAAGAATTTATTGATTGAAGATTGGAAAGAAATAATAACGATTGTTGAAATTTTTACAAAAATCGCAATCAAACGATTCCAATCTGAACAACACTGGCAGAATTTTATGCAGAAATGTTAAGATGCTGCATTGAACTAGAAAAAATTCATTTTACTCAATTACTATATTCTTGTACAGAGAAGCAAGGTTTATAAAGAATGAAATTCTCTTAGCTGCCATATACCTTAACCCAAGATACAAGGTTAATTAAAAGCTTAGTAAATTAATTATTTTGTATTTATATTTAAATTATTTATGGAATAGCCATTTATTTAAATATAGACAGTATAAATCCATAAATATTACAGGTATTACTTAATGATGATTATAAGATTTGTGCGAAAAGGCATCATGCCAATTCATGGAGTCGTAAAAGCATAACAACGCTGATTTTATCTGATGATATTAGTTTCGATGAAGTTATTGACCAAGAAGATGATCTAGAGAAATTGATACAACTTAAAAAAAGGCAGGAGGAAATACTTAAAAAAGGCCCAACGATTGCAGAGAAAAGTATTGGAACTATAATTACCATATTTAACGATTTCAAAAAATTAGATAAGGAAAATATTTTTAATTTTCGGGAGTCTGCTAAGCTGGACCACCCTGTTATATTTTATCCACAATCTTATTTGCGGCTGCAACCCAAGTTAATTTATCATATTTTCACATAAATATATTTAATATATGTTAGCGTTGAAAGATTTTATCACATTTGAAATTCATTCTTACAACACAGATCGAGGATGAGTGAACCACTCTTGGAAGATATTATGTTAATACGTCTAAATAAAATTTTTTTAAATTGATACAACTATGCTTTGTATTTTTCACTATATTTGGTCTATAAATTTAATAAAAAATTATTTTTTATACCAAATTTATGTATGTCTAGTTTTTTAAATATGGAATTTTTTTTATCAATTCAAAAATTCTTAAACTCGAGTTGAACAGAACTAAACCCGGGTTCAAAAATATTTCTCTTAACCGAACCTGGGCAAAAATTTTGCCGGGTTCACATCCCTGCTTGTGAGCATCAATATGTATCAGAAACACCCAATAAGCCTATTAGGACACTCAATGACCTTCATAATTTTTTATTGCAAATTATATTGATCTTTGTATTATTGTACTGATAATATTAATTTATACAGGTAAAAAAATATTGATTAAAATAATAGTGAAAATATTCACCTATAGAGATGAGTTATTAACTTGCAAAAAATGTGCAATGATTTTTTTATCTAGAGTTGGGGAGAGGGCGAAAATTTTAGCTTAAAATCAATATTATAAATTGAAGTTTGATGTTAAGAGTGTAATTGTTTTTGTTATGTGTATCGTGATAGCGAGGAGTCACTTTGTATAATAAATGCATTATTTGTGATTAATATTTTTTTTGCGCATTCATTCTTGTGATATATTATAAAAAAAATGCTATTTTTAAAATTAGAAAAAATTATTATTTTTTTTTGTTTATTACTTAATTAAATAGATATATATGGTGAATTCCATATCAAATCAACCAAAAAAAGTCGATTCTCAACCCGACCCTCTTCAATTTTTCTTAAATTTTGCATAATGGTAGTATAAACTATAACTAAGAAAAAAATGAAATTTTACCTCCCAACAAGGTTTACTCGCTAAGATATGGGCGTTTAAAGCGCGGAAAAATAGTACATTTTTGACAAAATGTGCCTCATTTATTTTCAAATATCTCGAGAAATAATTAAGTTAGAAAAATAATTTAATTTTATTATGTAGCTTAATAATAGTTCTTTAATATGACATAAAAATAAATATGATATAAATTTGATGAATGTCCAAAACCGGATGTATAAAACCGGAAATGGCCATAGAAAAAAAAGGTATTTTTTTTTTCGAAATTTTTTTTCCGTAGATAGATATAACACTGCTTTATATTTGTGCCAAATCCTAGCCTGGGATGAAAAAGGGTCTAGGAGTTATGATTCTTTATATGGCTTAAATTGATCAAAAATATCTTCATTTAATGAATACTTATGAAATAATGTTTTTTTTTAAATTATGTCTAAATGATAGGCCCTAACTTTTTTTTATTTTTAATTGTTAACATATTGTGACTGAAAATTACTTGACAAAATAATTCTAAACCAATTTATAACTTTATTTTTCTGAAATGCATAATTACATATAATATAATAATTCATAATTATGTACAATATATCATATATTAAATTATCTAAAGAATTGGTATAAATTTTGACTTTAATTTTATTTTCATCAAGGGGAATATAAGCATGGTATTTTTGTGTTCCCGGAATTCTTTTTGCTCTCAAAAATCTGCTTTCTAGATGATTTTCCATATTATTGTATTCATTATTGCTTACAAAAATGTAATTTACTCCATGTATATTATTTGTTGCAAAGTCGAATAAATCCATTGGTGTCAAAATATGGTTTTGATATGGCAGTTGCAAACTAGCTCGAGCTGCTAGCCGTTTTGTATACCTCCTAAACTGTCGCACGGACTTATTCCATGAGCTGTAGCAAAAAATCGGCCTTTATACCAAAATCACATTCATGATTATAGAGATTTATGAAATTTTTTTTATTTTTATATTGGATTACGGCCCCAATCAGAAAAATAATAAATTTTGGTCAATGTATCAAATCTTTCTTTTAAAAATAAGATCATTTTAGTTTGAAATAAATAAAAGGCACAGGCATTGTGCTTTAAGCAATCTGATATCACCACTAAACTTATATGTTTTATAGTGTTGTCCTGACGATAATAAATGATAAAAGGGTGAATAGTGGACTGATTATTTGTCCAATGAAATCCCTGTACATGGTCTTGCACTATAAATGCATAATTTTCCGAAAAGTCAGCAATAACTAAGTATTCGCCAACATTTAAATTAGATTTTAAATTGTTTTGAAATAATGATTGTTGTGATGCTATAAATGAATGTGGAATCAAATTGTCTAATTTCTCAATTAAATAATCTAGGAATTCATAAGCTGATTTTGTCAGCGTTTTGAGCGTAGTTCTATCTACCAACCATTGTTTAAATGATATATAATCTATTGAATTCGTATCAAATAATATAATAAGTCTTTCTTTTATTTGGGATGATCCAGGACAAAATTTACATTTATTGAAGTAACATCCAGGCTGGGCAGGATTGCAAAGACTTTGTGCAATACAATGTTTATAATCGTTTATTGGAGGATAATTATAATGATCATTATTGTTTGTAAGCTGTTTTAATTTTCCCCCTATTAAAATAAGCTTAAAATTTTGGTGTAGTGTGCAGATACACATGGTATGTGTACCTGGACCACCTGCTAAAACACAGTTTTTGGGTCGTAAGAATGCAAATCTATTCACTCACAATATGTTAACAATTAAAAATAAAAAAAAGTTAGGGCCTATCATTTAGACATAATTTTTAAAAAAACATTATTTCATAAGTATTCATTAAATGAAGATATTTTTGATCAATTTAAGCCTAATAAAGAGTCATAACTCCTAGACCCTTTTTTATCCCAGGCTAGGATTTGGCACAAATATAAAGCAGTGTTATATCTATCTATAGAAAAAAATTTTCGAAAAAAAAAATACCTTTTTTTTTCTATGGCCATTTCCGGTTTTATACATCCGGTTTTGGACATTCATCAAATTTATATCATATTTATTTTTATGTCATATTAAAGAACTATTATTAAGCTACATAATAAAATTTAAATTATTTTTCTAACTTAATTATTTCGCGAGATATTTGAAAATAAAGGAGGCACTTTTTGTCAAAAATGTACCATTTTTCCGCGCTTTAAACGCCCATATCTTAGCGGGTAAGCCTTTTTGGGAGGTAAAATTTCATTTTTTTCTTAGTTATAGTATATACCACCAGTATGCAAAATTTAAAAAAAATTGAAAAGGGTCGGGTTGAAACCTTGGTTGATTTGATATGGAATTCACCATATATAGATAAAAAAAAGAAATAAAAAATTATTATTGTTTTATATTTTTTTTAAGAAAAGTTCAGTCATACATTTCTGTTTTATTGTAAAAAGAAAGGAAAATATATTGAACAAAGGTATCAAGTAAGAACATATTTGACTTTGAAAAACATTAATTATAAAATAATTTTTACATTAATATTTAAAATAGTATAATTTTTACATTAGTATTTAGTATTTGACTTTTAAAATAGTTTTAATAACCCGTTTTGATATTTTTTTATTCATGCACTCCGCCAAATGTTTGATTTTTTGACCCGCCCATGATGGCAGGCATAATCAGTATTTTAATAATACTTATTTTTGCTAATTTAAGATATTCATAAATAATATCTGTTATTAGTCAATTTTTTATATATTATTAATCTCGAATCGAATAATTTTTTTATACGCCTAATTTACATATGATATTTTTTTACAGGCTATACATGGTGGTAATCTAAAACATAATCATTTCGAATTGATACGGAATATTATTAATAGAAAAATAAAAGAACAAAAAATATTTGCTATTTGGAGGGTAGACCCACCTTGGAAACCGGTGTCAAAGAAAAGTCAAGGTATTATTTCACATATTATGGAAAAAATTAAATACCATTGCACTAAACTGATGTAATCTGATATTTTATACATTTAATCATATATATTTAAAAAAGGATAAAAAAAATAGGAACTAAACCGAACCATTAAACGATATTAACCATACTACTTACAAAACACTGAACCGGAACTTATAAAAAGGCCTATTAAAACCGGGTGAATTCATAACTGTTAAAGATTATTATTGAAAAATTTTAGTCGCCGTTTTTACATATTTTAGCTTCTCACCATATCATTTACTCTTTTTCCTTACAGGTATAATTTGATAGAAGAGAATCTTGAAAATATATACGGCTCAATATTATTTTTTAGGGAATAATGATAAAATATGAAAAATCCTTTAAGTTTTTTTGCAAAAAGGTTACAAACTGTTTTTAAAGATTGAAACCTAATGAATATTATTATTTTTTACGAACTGAACTTGAACCATGAATCTTTACTTTTTATCTAAATCTGAACCGTTGAATCTTTATTTTTTATCTAAACCTGAACTGAGCCTATATTTATTACGGTTTAGATTTAGACTCATAAAATCAATTATTAAAATATATGATTATTTTTCGTTTGGCGAAACCTTTACCATTTTAAACACATTTATAGCCTTTTTGAAAACGCGTACTTATAATATGACAAAACCTTGTATCAAAAACCAATAAAAATTGTTTATTTCACATGTTTTAAAGAGGGTGTTGAACCGTTAAGTATAATGGCTCAGTTCCATTTCGGTTCTTAGTTTTAAATTTTAAAACAATTTATTCCATTTTGGTTATTTTTGTAAATTTATAAATTCTTTCCAGTTTAGAAATTCATATCGGTCCTTTCCCGTTTTCATTCAAATTTTAAATAATTTATAATATATATTTTTAAATTTATTGACCCACAAAATTATTTTAAAAAACTTGAAAATTAAAAAAAACAGGAATTTCAAAAAATATGAACGGTTCAGATTTAGATTCATAAGATGAATTATTCAGGAATAAAATTTTTTTTTCTTTTGGCAAAACCTAGTTTTTTTTTCGCAATACTTTATATTTTTTTTAATTGACCCATAAAAATATTTTTTAAAACTTTTAAAAATGAAGCAAACAACAATTTAAAAAAATAAGTTGAGTTAAAAAAACAAATTAAATAATAAACTAGAGCGTGTCTACAAATATTTAACCGATACTATATTTAGATTGATTTTTATTTACCATATGTCTTTGAACCAACATTTTTTAAAAAAACTAACTTTCTCAAATGATAAAGTGTATTTTTTTTATTCTCCAGGTAATCATCTCATTTAAAATATGTTTATGTTTAGGTCATTTTTTTGGGCTAAAATATTGAATTAGCCATTTTTAAAAATCAGCTAAGCGAGCCGTTTAACAAAGCCAACTAAATATGCCTGGATATTTATAAATCCTTTTCGTATTTTAGATAATATAGCAAATATTATCAAATCTTTAGCTACTCTATCTTTTAAAATAATTGAATTTTGGTTCCTTTTATTTATTTAATATTAATAAATGATGTATAAAATATTAAATAATTTTATACAGATCAAAAATTACACAAAATCAATGAAAATGTAGGATCAGTTTTAAAAACATCGACCTGATCCAATATTTTTAAAAAACGATAAATTGGTCCTGATTTGATTCAATATTTAATATAGGCACAGCCCTAAACTTAACAGCCATATATAAATTTATACTATTTATTTTTTTAAATTGAGTTAGATTGAATTTCAAATTATGCTATAATTTTAAAAAACCTTTATCCGGTTCAAATATATAACTGTTCGATTCTCTCTTTTTGATATCTAATATAAGGTCATTCCACCATCTCAGATTTGTTAAAATTCTATATATAAGTTAATGAAGTATTGTAATTGACTAATCCAAAATATTAATCCCTCTATACTAGAACTGGATATATAGAGTCTCAAAGTGGGTCTGCCAAAAAAAATGCTTTCTAAAATTTTGATTGGCTCATTTTATAGTCCTAAGAAAACCCTTGAATGTAGTTTGAATAAAATTAATCAGCTAGGTGGCGTTATTTAAATAGCATAAATTGAAAATATAAATCAATCTACATATTTTTATATTCCATAATAACATATGAATAAAACATTTTGGCACAAAAATAAAATTTCCGTTGATAATAGTGCTGTAAACATTTCTTAAAAAATAGAAACGCGTTCAACGTTCATTGACAAAAATCGAACGCGTTCAAGTTCATGTTCAAAAAAAAGGAACGCGTTCACGAACACGTTCACGTTCATAAAACCGTTCAAAATTTTATGATAAATTTTTTTAAAATTTAATTTAATATAAATAAAACTTATATTTTAGCCATGTTAAAAAATAATATAGTTTTATTTTGATAATTTAAAAAAATTTTCTTATTAAATTTTAATAACAATTGTTTTCAAAATATTTATCTGATAGACAGGAACCCTTGGCAGTTAATACGGCATTAGCTATACTAAAAACGCGCTCTACAGGGGCAGATAAGGGGATTGCGGTATTATACTTAATAAACAGCTCTTTTAACGTGGAGAATTAATTAATAACATATTGTTTTGTTATTTGCAAAAAAGTGAGATAAGTTATCCTCCTCCAATCCATTCTCTAATCTCGACAAAAAAAGGATATCTCGAAATTAACAGTTATCTAAGGTTTTCAAAGCATTTTTTTCAATAACACTTTAAGTTTATTTTTAATAAGTTAGTTCTGTGGAAGTTTTATCCATGGCCATTGAAGTTTGAATACTGGATGTATAATTGCAGAAAGAACATATTGACCTTATATATATGTTCAAATCTTTAAAAAAATAAAATATATGTAATTAATTGAGAGTGATAGATTTAATACCTTTTATTAATTCCATTTAATACGGCGTCTATCAATGATTCACCATATTGGAGGCCACTAATTTTTTTAATTTTAAAATAACTACCGTTATTGTTGGGGTCAAATATCCCAAATGCAATATTTCTTTAAATTTAATAATGCAATATTTCTTTAAATTTAATAATGCAATATTTCTTTAAATTTAATGATTTAACTTAGTTATATCATATAAAATCAAATAATTAATATTAAAATCAAATGTTGTTTTAAATTGGAACCTGAAGATTTTGACAATATACTTTTTGGCCACATTTTACACTTGATAAGCATTGGATTAGTTCCTTCAATATAGGATGTTAATGTAAAACATTTATCATATTTGGCCATGTAATGATAATTCATCTGATTTTGGATTTTCAGAATCAGATGTTGAGGATTAAATAATTATGCTAATCTATTAAATTAAAATATAAACAATAATATTCAGATTAGTGTTAAAAAAATTGAAATTGATTAAAAAATATAAATAATACATTTTTTAAAAAAAAATCGGAAATATTAAATTTTTCAAAAAAATAAAAATATTTTTTAAATTGAACGAACGTTAAATTCGAACGCGTTCGTAAGGAACGCATTCACGTTCATCGTCAAAAATAAAAAAACGAACTTCGTTACAAAACTAGTTGATAATGATTGGATTCATCAATTACAACAGTTCATTAACTTATATATCAAATTTTTACAAAAATATAATATGTCAAAAAAATATTTTATATTGGCTAGAACATTTGCTTGGAAATTTGCCGTTCAAATTACTTAACTGTTCCATTTAGCCTATTATCCAAAATTTATATGGGTAATTCCATGACAAATCGACCAGCGATTCGGCCGAACATCTCAAAAATGAATGAAACTTGGCATGTTAGTTATTTATGTTGTAAATGTTAATAAAATCAAAATTTTAGAGTGCTAGCTCAACCAGATTCAAAGATATACGCCTTCTAAGTCGAAAATCGCGAAGTGCGGGATTTCATTAAATCTTGTTATTTTAAAAAATACTTAGTTACAAATAATATGTCATTTTATAGCCCTTAAAATTTTACGTTGGAAAATATTTAAAATAAATTATTAAATTTCAGGTGTTTTTTTATTTCCGGTAAAAATTAAAAATTAACATTTTTAGGAAGGGATTTTTTTTGGTGCTAATATTCACTATAAATGTTTATTAGCTTTATATTAAACGATTTAATAAAAAATCTCCATAGCCATTTTTGTTTTTAAATTTTTATAAATAAATAAATGTAATATAGATGGCGTTATATTAAATTTTTTTATAATATATAATTTTTAATAAAAATATGAATAGTATTGTGATTAAAATTAAAAAATCAATTGAGTATAACCAAGAATGATGTCGGGGGGCGATATGTAAGTAGGCAGCCCATACAGATATGATTTTATTAGGACGCTATATTGTAAAATAAACATATTTTAAAATTTTATACACAAACAATATAAAAATAAATACCTCTTGTTTTAATCTTATCCCATTTTGTGCATATTAATAGAATTTCTTGAGACGATAATTTGTAGGTATATCCTGTTACTGTAATAGGATCTACTATGGTTATTATTTGATTAATGGGACCATATCTTTTCCTTAATTGTGGGGTAAAAGAAGGATATGGTCCATGGGGATGTAAAAAGGAAATATATATCTCCTCAGTAGTTTCATTCTTTTTTAGTACTGTGGCTAACCACCAAAAATCGTCATAAACACATGTTACGAATTTTTTAATATCGGCAAAAGACAAACGGCATTTGAGATATTGTTAATTTGTAAGTCCTCTGTATATGAAATATTTTTGATTTAAGTTTACTTAAACTCAAAGGAAATACAGCATGTATTTCACGAGTTCCTGGAATGGGACGAGCTAAATTGAATCTTCTCATAGTTTAATTTCATGTAAATTGTATTGTTCGTTGGTCATATATGTAAAATTTACTGATGGCATGTTTTGTTTTGCAAATTGATATATATCAACTGGCGTTAAAATGTGTCCAGAACTGATGCGTTGAAGGCTTGAACCCGCTGCTAATCTTTTTAATGTTCCGCCAAGGCCGTCATATGGACCTTTTCCATGGGATGTAGCTGAAAAATGCCATTCAGCTGCTACACCAAAATCTGATTCATGATAACACAGATTTATAAAAAAATTTCTGTTTTTATATTGTGCAGCTGATCCGTCAGAGCAGTAATGTATTTTGTTTGGATTTTTGCTGAATTGATTGTTCAAAAATTTTATCATTTTAGTCTGGTATAAATACAACATGTTAAAGTTACTCTGATATTACCATATAATTAAGGTTTTCTATATTGCCAATATTATAATATGCTATCATATGATGAATAGTGGCTTGATTATTATTCCAGTGGAATCCTTGAACAGTGTCTTGGATTATAAATGCACAATTTTCAGATAAATCATAAATTCATTTGGTTGTAAAAAATGTTTAAGTTTTGAAATATATGATGATTGATTGGTAGCGATGATAGGAATAAAAAAATAAAATAAGCTGATAAAATCGTTATTTTCAAATAATAACGATAGTAGATCCACAACAATAAAAGGATATATATATACAAATTATGGCCTTAGGAATTTCTATTAATAAGCGCAAAATTATAATAATTTGAATATAAAATTTAAAAATATGTTTATTTTATAATATAGCGTTAATAAAATAATATCTGTATGGGCTGTCTGTTTACATATCGCCCCCGGACATCATTCTTGGTTATACTCAATTGATTTTTTAATTTTAATCACAATACTATACATATTTTTATAAAAAATTATATATTATAAAAAAAATTAATATAACGCCATCTATATTACATTTTTTTATTTATAAAAATAATTAAAATTCAAATAAAATTAAAAAAACAAAAATTGCTATCGAGATTTTTTATTAAATCGTTTAATATAAGGGTAATAAACATTTTTAGTGAATGTTAACACCAAAACAAAATCCCTTCCTAACAATGTTAATTTTTTAAAAATATTTTCGAAAAATTTTAAGGGCTATAAAATGATATATAATTTGTAACTCTATCTTAAGTAATTTATAAAATAACAAGATTTAATGAAATCATGTACTTCGCGATTTTCGACTTTGAAAGCGTATATCTTTGGATCTGGTTGAGCTAGCAATCTAAAATTTTGATTTTATTAACATTTACAACATAAATAACTAACATGCCAAGTTTCATTCATTTTTGAGATGGTCGGCCAAAAATCTCGTTTTTTTGGTCGATTTGAAATGGAATCACCCATATAGCATTTCTATTAGTCATTTATTTTCGTCTTTTGTAAAATATATATTTACTTTTTTTTGTTTTTCCTTGACTTCTATCTAATGCATATATATTTTAATAATACCGTATTTAAATTAAAGCTGTGATCCACAAATTTTTCACCGATCCGATATTTATAATGATTTTTATTTACCATATACCTTTGTATCAATGTCATAAATATATATATTTTCTACTCTAAAAAAGCCAACTAACTTTCACGAATAATTAATTAAACCTTTCAGATATCTGTGGAAAAAATCAGGACAATATTTTGAGTTAATCGTTTTTAAATTGGCTATATCGAGGCGTTTATGAGCACTAATTGAACATGACTCGTTAGATATTTTGAAATCCTTTTCTTTTTACAGATAATATAACAAAAAAGTGTAAAAATAAATTACTTTTTATTAGTTCCTTTCATTAATTTATTATTATGAAATTATTTATAGAATAAAAAAAATTAAGATTGGTCGGATCGGTTTTTTTAAACATCGGCCTCCTCCGATATTTTTTGAAAACGCTAACTATCTTTACCGATCCGATATTAAATATCGGCAGAGTCCTAAATTTAAATTATCAATTTTAATTTTTCAAACATAATTTAAAAATAAAATATGAATTTAAAAATATATACAAATTTGAAATAAAACATTTAAAAACAAATAAGAAAAAAAATGGAAGACGAATATAGAAGGAGAAAATATATTAAAATGACAGTTGAAACTACTCTTGAGTTAATTTAATTTCTTTGTTTTTAAAACCAAGTAAAATTTCTAATGAGATCTTAATTTTTAAGTCAAAAAGTTGCTTTACGCTAAGATATTATTATCGATGCAATTTTAAAATAAGTTACGGGGTTTTGCCACACGATTGAAGATATATAATATTTAAAAAAGAGATTGGTAATGAAACTAATTTAAGGCTGGCCCATGATATTTTTAGCCCTACCGAAAAATATAGCACATTTAAATAATTTTAAAAAATCCAGTCCGACCCGATAAAATAATTTGCCTAATTTGTCCGGCCCAAAATTAATAAGTTGCATGGTTACTATGCTCATGCCGATTCTTTTTAGCTCTTGGGCTTGTATAGTATCACTACATATAATTAATCTATAAACTTAAATTTTATTATCTTTAAGGACTTAGAATGGGCGGTGGGAAAGCTCCTATCCATCACTATGTTACGCCAGTTAAAAGTGGGCGAATTATAATTGAAGTAGGTGGAAAAGTTGAATATGGTGAGATCAAAGATTGGCTGAACAATTTAGCTAAAGTACTCCCTTTTCAGGCTAAAGCTTTCTCGCATTCTACTATGAATAAAGCAATATCTTCTAAAATTAATTTAAATCCTTATTCATTTGAGTTTATTATTAGAAATCGAATGCAAGGTTGTTATAATTGGCTTAGCCTTTATGATTACGAATGGCTTGGAAAATATCATTAAATACTATATGTCATTTTGAATAAATTATGATATTTATTATTATTATTGACAGATTATTGTAAATGTTATAACATAATATAAACATTGTCTTTTTTTGTGGTATAACAAGCATTTTTTTATTAATTATATATTGTATGCAGGGTTTTCCATTCAAAAAAGGAAAAGTATTAATGGCTAGGAAAAAGTCCGATCAAAAAAAAAGGTTAAAAAGGAGAAATATATTCAAGACTTAGGAAAAGGGTCAAACAAAAAATAATTAATTCCGTTTTATAGAGCATTTAGAGACAGGAATACAAAGATTTATTTAAAAAAAAGTAAATTCCAAATATATAAGAGGGGAAATTATTAATGATTGATATAAAATTTTGTTTCTTACTATATATATAATTTTAATGAAATAATTTGATATGCAAAAAATATTTTAAAACAGTTGTTTCCAAAGAAAAATAAAAATTAGTGAAATTTAAAAAATATAATGAGAAAAAAAGTCAAAAAATGTTATGTGATATAAATAATAGGAAAAAGGATTATTAGAATGACATGAAAGTAGAGGAAAAAAATAACGGAAAATAAATAAAAAAGACATAAAAAATGAAAAGAAAAATAACTTAAAGAGATCGCAAAAAGTTAGAAATAAAATAAGGAAAAATAAAAAAATTAAATTTTAAAAATTTGAATTTTTTTTAAAATATTTAGAAAGATATATATATCTTATTACTATTTTATTTTCTCTTTAGCTTTCACCTTTTCTGGTGGTAAGCTCCTTCAACATCTCTCTTCACTATGTTATTCATACAATCTCTTTTATCTAATTTATACTTCTTTTTATTGGCTCTAACTTTATGGCCCCATTGAAGTTTTGGCCTTCCTCTTTTATTTTGCCCATCACTTCCAAACTCTCAACCTTATTTCCTATGTATTTCATAGGCCTTCTCATTGTGTGCCCATACCACCTACCTAAGTCTTTTTACCATTAACTTAGTCTTAATGGGCACTACCTTTGTTACCCCAGCAATCATCCTCAGCATTCTCATCTCCATAGTTTGTAAACTTCTCTCGTCTGATCCTTAATTGGCCATGTTTCCGAACTATATAGAATAGTTGGTTGTACTATGGAACTGTAAATTTTTCCCTTTAATTTGTGTGGATTCTTTTATCAAATAGCACTCCAGATAAAGATCTCCACTTTAACCACCCTTGATTAATTTTATCTCTTTTTCTATTGTGCCGTTTGTTTGTATAGTGGAGCCCAAATATTTGCAGCTTTCAATTGCCGATATCTGCCATTCATTTATATCAATACTCTCTGTTTCATCTCCTCCTATCGCCATATACTCAGTCTTTTCTCTATTCACTTTTAGTCAGTGCTTTTCTAGGATATTTATCCAACTCACCAATCTTTCTTTCATTTCATCCTTGGATTCGGTAAGTATCACAATATCATCTGCAAATATATTCCACCGGACTGTTTGAGGTATAGACTGTGCTAATACATCTATTACTGTAATGAAGAGAAGTGGGCTGAGAGCCGACCCCTGATAAACTCCTACGGCTATTGTGAAGCCTGCTGAAGTACCTGTTGTGCTACAGACCATTGTTGTATGGCCCATATACATATACTGTATTATTCTTATATATTTTTCGGGAATTTGTGGCATAACGCCTACCAGATAAGTTTTCTGGGGATTCTAACGAAGGCCTTTTCTCGATCGAGAAAGACCATGTATAGCTTTTTGTTCTTTTCCTTGTATTTTTCACTTATTTGCCTAATTACGTGGATAGCATCAGTTGTTGGTCTTCCAGGCATAAAGCCAAACTGAATCTCTCCTATTTCGATTATGTCTCTTAATCTTTTTTCTATTATTTTTTGGTATAGTTTTAGATAGTGTGACATTAGTTTTATGCCCCTGTAGATAATTGTGTTGATCCCCTTTATTTTTGAAGATAGGATCTAGATAGCTCTACCTCCATTTTTGAGGGATCTCTTCATTTCCCAGTATTTTATTATACAGATTTGTGAGGAGAATTATTCCATCATCTAGTGCTTTAAGACTTTCTATTGGTATATAATCTGGACCCCTAGCTTTGTTTTTTTTTCATATGCTTGAGGCATGTGATTATTTCTTGTTCTGTTATAGGTTGTACAAGGTTTTGACATGGGGGAGTGTTCGTCTAGATGTAGTATGTGGGGATTAAAGTTGAGAAGCTCCTGAAAATATTCTTTCCATCTATTCATTATTTCTTTTTCCTTTATTATCAATTTCCCATCTTTATTCTTGATTACTTTCGGAGCTCCGTTTATATCCCTAGAATTCTTTTCTCGCTGTTTGGCTAATCTGTATTATTTATTTTGCCCTTCTTGGTATGTAGTTCTTCATACATGTCATTGTATGCCATAGATTTGGCGTTAGCCACCGCCTTTGTATCTAATCTCTTGGATTTTTTGTATCTTGTCTTGTCATCTGGGTTTTTGGATTTGTACCATCTCCTTTATAGTGGTTTGTACATCTACATTCCACCACCATAGTTTTTTGTATGAATTGTTACCTCCCCTTGTCAAGCCTAGTGTCGATTTAGCAGTGTCTATTAATCTCGATGGAAGGTCTGTCCACATTTTTTCACTGACTTGTGAGGAATCTATTGTTTCAATGTTTGCATTGATTGCAAAGGTATGTCATTGTTTTTAATTTACCCCATTTTATGCATGGTTCCAGTTTTATTTTATTTTGAGTGGATTTATTTGAGATTTGTAAATCCATGACTAGTAGCTTGTGTTGTGCGGCGATATCTTCTCCTGGGATGACTTTGCAGTCTATTACATCTTTTAATCTTCTGCGAGAGATTAGCATGTAATCTATCTGTTTTCCTTGTACCACTTTCATATGTTATTAAATGACTGTCTTTTTCCTATAGTAAGTGTTTATTAAGGCAAAGTCGAAGGCTTGCGCAAATTTCAGTACATGCTCTCCTTCATCATTTCTTTCTCCGTATCCAAAACCACCATGATGCCTTTTGTAGCTATCTCTTGCTTTTCCCACATGCCCATTTAAGTCACCACCTATTATGTCATCCTTAGTAGTTTTAAAGTCATCTTTCTCTTCTTCCTTGCAACCCGTTTGAGGAGCATATGCTGAAAGGATGTGTAGTATTGATTGACCAATGCAGAGTTTTATCTTCATTAGTCCATCAGAGATCTTGTTGACTTCTACTACTGCGGAGATTAGATCTTGACTGAGAATGATGCCCACACATTCCTATTGCTAACAATTCCATTATAGTACAATTTATACCCATCTCCAATCATCAAAGTCTTCTGTCCTTTCCATTTCGTCTCTTGTATGCACGCTATATCAACATTTCTCTTGTTCAACATTGATGCCAATTCTCTCGTCTTACCTTTAAGTGTACCAATCTTCAAACTTGCTAATCTTGTCTTCTTTGCTTTGACCTTTATTTTACTTTTCACAGAATGGAGGTCTACACCCTGCGCGTCGCTTGGAGGGAACGCCCTAGCTTTCATATACATATTTTCATTTGTTTCCTTCATTTTGTTTATTGTACAAGTATCCTTAGCACCCGGCTGTCCATGCCTGTCAGTGACCGGGGTGTCATCTCTAAGCTCCGAAATTCATCTTACCATATGTCTTTACACATCATTCATCGAAAAAAAACTTAAATTTTTTATGCTCCTTACCAGAATTGAACCAGCGTCTTATGCGTCCTTCTGTTTCCAATCATACATCTAACCCATTAGGCCACCCCAGCGATATATATCTTATTACTATAATAATAAAAATTATAATGTGCCGATCTAGTTTGTGAATGGGTGAGACAGGATTCAGGATTGCTTTTAAAATCAAAGTCAAAAATAAATTATTGTTAAGTTAATAAAAATATCTTTTGATTGCAATATTAAACACTCAAGGTCGACCGATTTAATTTATATCTTTGGGAGTAACGATTCCTTCTTTAAAATTTTACTATATGCAAATTTTATATGAAAGACAAATCATATCGAATAATACTTAACCATTAACATCACATGAAAGATTTAATTTTATTTTCCCTTCTTAAACATTTTTACCTATGTTTCACGTGAATAATTTTTCAATATCTATTATAGGTAATCTAGTATTTTATATAAATTGACTAATATATTATGTCGAAAATTAGGTTAATTGCATTTGACCAGAACAATTGAATAAAACTTTTATACTTTTAGAAATCTTATTTCACGATATTCTAAATATATTCATATAATATATTTATTAACAGTATGAGGAATAGACTCATTATTATTTAACCATTGACATGTATAAGATTTAATTATATTTTCGCTGATAAAATTTTATAACTATGTTTCACGTAAAATAAATCTTTATGTATTATAGGAGATCTATTATAAATTGACTAATATATTATGTCGAAAATAAGGTTAATTACATTTACCAGAATATTGAATAGAACCTTGATACATTTTAAAATGTTATTTCACAATATTCCAATTATTGTATTGATAATTTATTTATTAACAGTAGAAGGAATAGGCTCATAATTTTTTTACCATTGACATCACCTGAAAGATTAATTTTATTTTCGCTTAAAAAACATTTTTACCTATGTTTCACGTAAAATAATTCTTCAGTATATTATAGAATATCTAAAAAAAATTATAAATTGACTAATATATGTAGAAAATAAGGTTAATTTCATTTACCAGAACATTGAATAGAAATTTGATACTTTTAGAAATATTGGATTTCAATATCTACACTATATAGGAAACCATAGACTGACAATTCATTCGTTAAAATGCATTTTATCATGTATGAATTGAAATCAGAGACGCCATTAACACCATGTTGATTACCACGATGATAATTTACCTTATTACCCCCTGAATTCATAGTGGCGCTATTGTGATTTAGCCCCGATAAATACAATAAATATTATATCGCATCATAGTTGCCTATCACGCGATTTGAATCGCGAAAGCAAATCGCTGCGATTTTAACACATCATTTTGTATTTATTGCGTAATTTTG